ACATCTTGTGTTAAATGTCTGGTTTCTTTTAAAAGCTGCGATCGTCTAACAAGAACGCAGCATCTGTAGAGGAATGCACTACTATTTTCATGGTTCTTCGTTAAAGTGATAATAAAGTCAAAAGGTTTTGAAGCTATTTCAAATGCTGATTAAATCACTTACAATGGATGCTGCCCCTTGATGTTTAAACGTTTTAGTTTCCTGCAGAATCAGCTGGTACCCTGGCTTTTATATCCTTTTTTCGGGTGTTTCCTATCCCTTGTGGGTCCCTTTGGAGTGTGTGTGTCTCCACATACATACAGTCAAGCAAAACTTACATACAGCAGGAAAAGCCACTTCCCTCCCACTCACTCCCCTCTACTCACTCTTCCCTTCTACAAAATAGTAGATGGACAGCTGCTGCAGACTGCTCTGTCCCTTGTGATCTTGTACTGGACAGGAAGTTCAGGGAAGCCGAGCTGAGAAAGTTGGAGCCAGCTGTTTGTAAACCCAATGACTGTAAGTGCTTGGGTAAAATATAAAGAAATACTTTGCTGGACAATGTATATTTGTTAGATCTGGATATATTAGTAAAAAATGTTTTAGAGTTTATTACTTTTCGGTAATTTTTCCTTAATATAGTAAAAAAATAAAAACCCCAGTGGTGAATAAATACCACCAAAAGAAAGCTCTATCTGTCCCCAAAAAAGGGTATAAAATTCATTTCAGTACAGCGCTGCATGACGGAATAAATGTCAGTCAAAGTACCATAGCGCTGAATACTGAAAAATGGCCTGGATGGGAATGGGGTTTAACACCGCGGATGTCAACTGGTTAACTCAACTTTCATAAGATGAGAGACGACTAGTAATGGATGTGAGGTCATCCCGGGAACCTGGCACAACCTGAAATAAGTGCTGAATTATAAAATACCAGCTGATGAAGGGTCTCTCTGGAACCAGTACAGATTTTCTAAAGACAGTGGCTGGTATCAGTGGTCAATTCACATTCAATATCATTACACATGTAATTTTAAATTGTCTATTGGCATAAGGGACGTTCTTGATTTTAACTTAAATCCCTACTGAAGTCACAGAAGTATATGCAGTCAGACGGAGATTATACTAACCCTCATTATTATAGTTTTTCTCTATTTTCCTGTTACAACAGTTGTATAGGGTTTCTTAATATGACTTTGCAGTCTAATGGGCACCAGCTTAAGGCTAGCAACGCACTGTTAGATTTCTCTTGTTCAGAACCATGGGATGAGCAAAAGAAATCATTAGATTCCCCCTACTGTGATAAGCAGTGTGGATAGAGGAATCTCCACTGCCAGCTATTGTATTTAGCAGCCACTGCTCCTGTGGCTGCTGAATACACTAACAGTTGTTCGGCTGAAAATTTTTCACCCGGCTCCTATTACAAAAATTGATTAAAAAATAAAATTTGTCGAAAGGTGTGGTGCAGTCAGGGCCACAAAAAGCTTGAATTCCAGCTAATTCAGCAGACATTGGCTGAAATTCAAGATGGACAGTTTTAGACCCAGTGCACTCAATAAGCAGCATTCAGTAGCAGGCTTGATCTCACACACCCTCTATTCCTCTGTAATAGGGATTGTATGGACAGTTGACTGTTACTTGCTCTGTGACACTGTGGGAGGACAGAAAGCAGCATTTTGTACTGGCAAAAAAAGCTAATTTTAAGCATTTCCTATAAAAAGTCAGCCCCAAATCCTTACATGCAGAGATGCAGGTTTATAATGAGGTAAAAAGATGTGAGACTTTACTTGGGGTTTAATATTTTCATTAAGCAATTAGGAAAATGTGTTCACCCATAGCAGAAATGAGTTAAAGGGGTCTATTTATAACTCCTCCATCCAACCATATCATGAGTGATGGTGTTTGCATGGCATTCCCATCACTAGAGGGAGCGGAGGAGCATAGGAGTTCCTTTGCTCCTCGGTTCCCTCTAGTGGTGGAGTTCTGTATGAGCGGAATTCGCCCAGCATACGGGCAGTAGAGTTATAGATAGACCCGAATGCGTATCTAAATCCCAACACAAAAAGCGCTTAGAAGTGATGTTTGCATTAGTGTTAACTTTTTAAGCTAAGAACATTTTCAGCAAGAATAGAAAATACCTGAAAATAAACATATATGTTTGAAGTCCAACCTGTGTGACAACAATGGTTCACACCAAAAATACAGTGGAGAAAAAAAGCATAGACATGAAGGGACAGTCGTGTTTTTAGCCAGTCCGGCAGTAACCAGGTGAGAGAGTGTCAAGTCGTAGTACAAGGAAAGATGGTAACAATTTTTTTACAGTTTCTATTTTAATTAGTCTAGAGTTCCCTTTTAACCCAGGATATATTGGCAAATGTTGCCTAACTTAAATAGGCAAGTTGGAATCTGACTGAGATCAAACATTTAAAAAGACACATAGTCGTTTTCTGTAGAATGTCATAAATGCTCAAAATCAATCGTCAGGTAACCTTAAAACCGAATTTACCAATTTCTTCAATTAACATTTTGAATTTTGCTTAGAATAAATCAGTGGTGAAACAGCTCTTCTTATGACGGTTTAACAGCATACAAAAAAAAATCTTATTTCCAGTTCATCTGATAAAACCATGTTACCAATATGATCAGATATCAGGTTTTTACAGTGTATTAAAATTCCTTATGTCATTACTTTGATCTTTATCAGTGGAAACAGTTCACTAGACTAACAGCTTACAGCAAAGAAAATAATAGCAGAATATACAAAAGGAATGGAATTTAGTGTCATCCCTTAAAGGTTAACATGCTCTTTTAATGAAATAACTCAAATTAATTAATAAGCTACACCCTTATTTATTTGGGCTGACTGGCGGATCGGACACGGAGGGGGCGGGTACAGCTGGCTCTGCCTCTAGATAGGCAGAGCCAGCTGTCACTCACACAGCTGGGCGAATCCAGACATAATTGTCGGGATCCGCTTCAGCTGTGGTGTCTCAGTATACCGCGAGCAGTAGCTCGCGATATACTGTGGCGTCTCAGTATACCGCGAGCAGTAGCTCGCGATATACTGTGGCGTCTCAGTATACTGAGCTTAGGGTGACGGGAGGACGCTAGTTTGTGTCCTCCCGTTACCCTAAGGAGAAACTATGGGGAAAAGCCTTAACCCCATAGTTCTCCTTTAAGAGTTATTCTTAAAGTGAATGTAAACCCAAACACTTAATCCATTTATGTTCTTGCACTATCCCTGTCATTTGCAATGCCAAACCATTTAATTTATTTTTATATTTCCTGCTGTCCATTCAAATCTATACTTGGTGATCCTACCAGCAAGATATATCCACAACTGCTTCCTTCCTTAGGTGATAACATTTAAAGATCTCTTCCAGCCTTTTCCAGCAACTTCTTGTATATATACACCTGCTCCAACAAAACCGGCACACCTTTGCACCAGGGTCTGTCTACGGGTAGTGGTGGACTATGGGTGTGCAATGTGTTTCAACACCTGCACTTGTATGTTCCACCAGGGGTGCATGTGGCAGGCTGTCAATGCAGAGGCACAATTGGGAGATAGTTATCACCTTGCAACAGGAAGTGCTTAAAAAAGGATGTTTATGGCAGGATGGACTGGTATTCATTTAATGAATGCTTCAGATTTTAAAAGTTTGGAAACAACCTTTGAAATTGTATTAATATGTTGAAGCTTATGTGAGATTTTAGGGATTGTACATGTACTGGCAACGTCAGCCATAGTCACCACACTAAAACTATTCAGCAGTAAAAAAAAATTCAGCCGCCATTGGAGCAGGAACATCTTTACAGGAAGAAAGTAAAGGGAAAACTATTTGTTTTGACATAAAGTAATTCAACCCAGTTTTACTTATATTGCTCTATAAAACTAGGGATTATTTTTTGAAAGTTTAGTTCTACTTTAAGTACATGTAGCAGCCAATCAAAATTCATTTTGTACTTGTATGACGTTAACAGAGGGAATTCTGATTCTTTGCTATTAGTAACTGCACTTAAGAATTAGCACTCAAGGATAAGAACTCTTCAGGCCATAATTGTCCTAACTCATCTACTTCAGTCTGGGTATGATCAGGACATAAAACGTAGCTATTCTACTTTACTGCTAGAAGCTATGTTTGAGCGTGCCATAAACACTTTTAATAACACTTTATATGGAATTCCACCATTATAGAACTCTTCAACGTTACTCAGGTAAAGCACCTAAATATATAATCTTACTAAGGATCTAATGAAATGTGTACAAATTGTGTGTTAGGCTCATAAATTATATGCCTCTGTTACCCTTATAGCACAATTGTCATCCCCATAAAACACCCAATTTTCAGGAGCAGGAGAGATGAAAAAAATGAAACACATGGCATACACTTCTGTGAGAATTTCATAAATGTAAGCTCACAAAGGCTCAGTAACAAGAATCTGCCCAAATGTGAGACTCAAGCAAGCTTCTTATAGTAAGTCATGCATTAAAATCCAGTCAGGAAAATGGAAGACAATACAGATGGGCATGTGTGGGAAGAACAACCTGTCCATAACCATCCAGGAAGTATGTACAGCTAAACCATAACACTGGCCCATACATAAATAAAACATTTGTATAAGACCTACCATTAAATTATAGAGTTTACCCAGATGTTTGTTCTCTTTAGAGCGTTATTGGTATACATTTTCAAGGGGGCATTACTCAAAGTCTTTCAGTTTGTACTTAAGTTAATTTGTTCTGTGGTGCTTCATATACTAGCCATAACCACCAACAACTATGCTGGTGAGGTCCAGTAGACCACAACATTACTGTCCAGGAGGCATTGTTCTGTTTTAACAAAGGTTTTGGAATAATTTGGGGCAATCACTTAGAGGTCTGCCATGAAACAAATTGTATTTACCCAGGTGTCCTTTGAACTTTATGCAGTAGCTTTTTCAATTCAGAGAGTAGTTTCCCTCATAAGGGAGTTGTAAAAAAAAGAAAGTGTGTAAATCTCTCTGGTCATTTGCTTGCTGCAGGGCTGGCTCTGTGAACTTCTGCGCTGGAAGGAAAACCCAAGCCCAGAAAACCGTACATTGTGGGAGAACCTGTGCACCATACGTCGTTTCCTGAGTCTCCCCCAACACGAGAGAGATGGCGTGTATGAAGAGGAATCTAGACATCACCACAGTGAACGACTTCAGCATGTCATACAAATCACTCCTGAACCTGTACAGGTAAGAGATGAATAGCCTTCACTTTTCTAGCGCCGATTACAAGTTGGTGTGTTATAAACCCAAAGGACCATTTCTACTAAAGCAAAAGCAGTGTTCACGATAAAACAAATCTGGCCTACTGAGGCTGATAATGTTGGTCCTCTGATGTTTTTTCACAAGTCATTTTATATAGGTGAAATGCACTGCAGTCTAATTTTTCCATAGCTGAACCATGTCACACGTGACAACTCCCCAGTCACAGAACTTCAAGGCAAAGAAATTTGTAAAGGTTGCTGCATTGGTGGCTGGATGAGTGAGGCTTCACAATGTTACTGGTGAGTGACAATCTGCAGCATTTTTGTCAGTGAGGGATTGACACCTCATTTAACTGGCCAGCAACAGGGCAACCTGTGGTGGTTTCATGGAGCTGGAGTTTTACCCCAAGAGATCCTTAAAAAACCTTGCTGAGCATGGTGGAGGGAGCTAACTAGTCTTTCTTCAACAAAAGTCAAATACAGTACAGAGCATCCATTTTCCCTGCAACACTTGCTACTTCTACTACCAGTCATACCAGTCATTCAGACATTGGCTGTACTTGACGTATTATGTTACCTATCCAAGAAATACTGTTTTTTGCTATAAGGAGCATGTGGTAAAAGTCCAAAAATAGTTCTTTATTTTCCAGCTTGAAAAGAACTGATATTGAAATCCCTTATAATAATAATAATAATAATATTGCTTGTAATAATCATGGGAATCATATTTCAAATACAAATGGCTGTATAGTCAGACCCAAAGTAGCAATACAACTCAAGCATTTTCTACATGATTTACCTAAGAGTAATACCTGACCTATAAAAGCTTTTTTTTTTTAGGTTAGTCAGCCTTGGTCATCCCCTAAACCAGCCATACTGTATAGTGCAACCATTGTAGGCTGTACACTAAAACCCCTATATTTGACATTAGTACTTATGGATAAAATGTGGTAACTGTAGATTGCACACTAGCACACCTAGACTTGACATTTGTGCTTATGGATAAAATGCAGCCACTGCAAACTGTACTCTAGGACCCCTATACTTCTCATTTGTGCATATGGTTCAAATGCAAATACTGTAAACTGCATGCTAGGACACCAATAGTTGGTATTTATGCTTATGGATAAAATGCTGTCATCATAGACTATACTGTAGGACACCTATACCTGGTACATGGGCTTATATTAAAATACATAAACTGTAAACTTTGCATTAGGACCGATATACTTCTCATTTGTGCTTATGGTTAAAATGTAGCCACTGTAAACTGTACACTGGGACCCATTTAATTGGTGTTTTTGCTTATTGATAAAATGCTGTCATTTTAGACTGTACTGTAGGACACCTATACGTGGCAAAAGTTCTTATGATAAAATTCAGCCAAAGTAGTCTGTACACTAGAACACTATACTTATTAATTGGGGTTATGGATAAAATGCAGCCATTGTAAACTGTACACTAGGACCCCTATACTTGAAATTTTTGTATATGAATACAATGCAGTTACTGTAAAGTGTACTGTAAGACACGTATAGATAAAATGCAGCAATTGTAAACTGTACACTGGGACCACTATACTTGGCAAGAGGATGAAATGTTGCCAGTGAATTATACAGTATAGAGATTTCTTTAGTAATCTACACAAATATGACCTGAAGTGACCGTTCGCCAGGGATGTTTTTTTAGCAGGCCAACCTATAAATCAGTAATGGAATACCTGTCTACGTTTTGTATGTAGCCACTTTTGAGTTTTCTTCATTTTTTTCCAATCATTTAGAATGCAGGGTAGCCAAATGGATGCAGTTCATGCACAGAAATAGCCACACTCGTTAATCTCTGAACTTTCCAGTACCTGTGTTGGATGACTTGTCCATTTAGAACAAGGAAAACGCTGTTTTTAAGTATAGCAGATAGCAGCACATCAAGATGAGAGTGTTAACTACAGATAACTCATACTGTGCACCTCAGGGAGATCTTTTTCAATTGCTTCTGAGGCCTTAGCTGCCTCCAATCTCATAAACTTCCCACTAGGGACTTGCTTCGCACCCCTCTGTTATAGTTTACGTATGGCCCCTGGCTTACACTGCGCAAGCCCTTATTGCTTGTGTAAATGTGTCAGTGCTAAAGTACATGATGGATACATGCAATAAGGTTAGAGATGTACTACTATATGTGTACAATTAACCTGCACAGTGCCAAGTAATCCTGTAGTGCTTTAAAATAAGGCTTTCACGAAAGACAAGCTTCTGTTTGATCTAGATTGTGTTACAGTAGGTGGAAAAATATGGTATGCACTTCTGTAGACACATGAATGATAGTCGTGCTCTAATATTCTGTGCAGATCTGTAATTTTTCATTTGTTTGTACAGGGTTGTGAACTTTCTTTGTCAACACATAAAAACGAAATGTCATATTCTTGATGAACGAGATTTTTTCTCTTTTTTTTCAATTAGACACAACCCTGAACAAGAATCCTTGACACACCAATATCTTGCATTAGAGTTATTAAAGAGAGATAAGGGATTTTTTTTAGCTATGCTTTACAGCTGACTTTCTGTATTTGTTCAGCCTGTTCTTGAGAAGGCTAACAAGTCCTATCGGGACCCCCATATCTTTGCACATGAACAATTATACTTTAAACAATGTAATTTATTAATGCGTGGCATATTTTCAGGTATGCTATACTCATGCACAGTCTTACTGAATCATAAGTGGTGTCGTAACAGAATTTAAAAGTGTTTATCCGGCTCTCCAAGTTATGTTACTAAAATCAGATCAGCCCCCAAATATATGGCACTTATCCAGCATGATTTGGGGTCTTTCTTAAAGTGTAATATATAGCAAAATCAGTTATTTTTTAAGTTTTGGCATGAGTATGGAATCATTAAAACCTTTCATCTGTCACACCCCTGTGTCCTGTCTCAGAGGTGAAACATCAATTGAAACGAAATCTTTCACTTCTTGCTGCATTAGAAGCAGTGTCGTTAGCCTGCTGTTTGTGCATCTTCGGTTGGCTGTTTGGCTAACTATAAGGTCTATTAGATAGGCAGCCCAATGGCCAACTGAAGAAACTTGTACAACAGGCTGACCATGATGCTACTAATTGTGGGGCAGTTGCTCAGGGTTGTCAGCCTTCAAAATGACCTTCTGTTACTAGCAGGATCTCCAGGTAAAAGCCTTGGCAGCAAATTCACACAAAAAATGCTTTGGAATACTGCATACTATCAGACTTGATGCCAAACAAATGGAAAAATAGATTTTGGGTTTACATAAACTCTGATGAAATGATGCTTTCTAAAATAGATGAAGACTTTAGCATTAAGTACAAATATATTTTCCTGTCTCTAATTATTATGGTAAATGTCCAACAATACCAGTTACTGGATGACTGACACCTGCAGAAGAGACACTCTAGGATACCCTATGACTAAAGACTTACAAAGGGCTACTCACCATATTGTTTCAGCAGTTCATGTTGTCTGGCATTTTTATTTTATTCAAACTCTATAAGTCATTTACTTCCACAACACATACTTGCAGATCTTTTGGGACTATGAGACTGCCCAAATCCTGGCATATGTATTTTTACATCTTGGATTAACAAATAAACAATAACGTTTGCTAAAATCCTTTAAATTTGGAGGGATGACTAGGGCAGTATTGTTGTTTTTTATATGCAAAAGTTCAGTAACACTTTCAGCATTGTTTAAAAATTACTGAACTATTTGATTTCATAGATTGAGTCTTGTAAAACACTTGTCCAATTATGTAAATCAAATAAAGTTTCCAGTTAATTTCCACATGTAACACTAACAGGGTTATTCACAAAAGGGAGAATAGTTTGGAGAAGGCCAGAGAAGTGAACAATCTAGGTCAAAATACCTGATTCGGAAACAATCTCCAATTCAGTTCACTTTCCAATTCAACTATGTTGCCTTAGATTGTTCACTTCTCCTGACTTCTCAAAACAGTGATGCAAAGGGGCAGCATGGAGTGATATAATTGACCTTATATGGCTACTTGGCCATATTAGGTAAATTACATTATGGCCATGTAGTCATATAAGATAAATGACGTTAGGACAATTATCTAACCCCTTTGTTTATGGTCATTTGTAGGGTGGGGAATGTGTTGACCTGCAGATCATTGGGCAGAAGACCCATGTAGTTTCCATTTAGGGATGAGCTCAGGATGGGCACGGGTTCAGTCTGAACCTGAGCTCATCCATAGTCAGGTATGTATCTTTTTTTGTTACAATTCAAGGTGTGTTATCTTCTATGAACAATTAAGCTTTTTAAATTAAAACAAAAAAGGAAACATCGAGAAGCAGATGATCCTGATCAGCCTGAGCACCCGCGGCCAGTAACTAGAAGCTGTATAACTGTGCAGTAGGCCATAGCAACTGATTAGTAATTATGTTTTACTGTCCTAACTTTTCTAAATTGCTAAGAGGTGAGACTGGGTGCTCCAGGTCACTGCACTTTACTCTCCTTCATAGCTCTATACACTGACCTATTATGTAAACCTGTACGCCCTACTTACCTGTGGTATTTGATTAGAATGTAAATCATCTTTCTTTTTTCCACTGATATATTTGAAAATCAAAAATTTTTTTTTTCAAATCTAGAAAATAGAGCTTTATTTAAACAAATATAAAATATTTTATTCCTTTACTATGACCCCACTGATTTGAAAGCCTATTTCCTTTGTACCCAAATAACACCAACTGTATAACAATTCCATTATTACAAACACATATTAATGTTAAAAAATGATGGTGAGCTGCCTGAAATCAATTAAGGTATTTCCTTTAGCAACCAATAAAATTCCAGCGCTCAAGCACGGATTAGAAAATAAAGGCTCACATATGACTGGCTAGTCTGGGAAACAGCCCAATGTTTTATTTTCTTGATAAATTAGTCATTATGTGACCATGACAGAAATATAGTATGCGCCTAACTTGCTCTTTGAGGAAAATACAGT